ATACAGGTTGGAACCTTCACATGCTGCCGATGGGAGGGTAAAATGGTGCAAATGCTCTGGAAAACTCTGGCAGTCTCAGACAGTTAAAAAAATAGTTATCATTTGATCTAGGGATTCCATTCCTAGGTCTATTCCAAAGAGAAATTAAAATATTATGTCCACACAGAAACTTATATTCAAATGTTCATAGGAATATTATTCGTAACAGGGAAAACCGAAACGTTCATCCACTGATGAATGGATACATAAAATGTGGTGTATCCGTACAATAAAACATGGCCATAAAATGGAATGAAGCTCTGATATATCCTACACCATGGATGCACCTTGGAAACTATGCTGAGTGAAAGAAGACAGACACAAAAGGCCACATGTTGTATGATTCCATTTACATGAAATGTCCATGATAGAAAATCCAGATGGGCAGAAAGTAGATCAGTTGTTGACAGAGACTGGGGGAAGGGAGCCATGAGAGTCACCATTAGAGAATAATGGGTTTGGTGGGGTTTTGGAGTGATGAAAATATTCTGGGGGCACCTAGGTGACTCAGTCAATAGAGCATCTGACTTTTTTTTTTTTTTTTGGAGTTCAATTTGCCAACATATAGCATAACACCCAGTGCTCATCCAGCCAAATGAGCATCTGATTCTTGATCTTGGCTCAGGTCTTGATCTCAGGGTCATGAGCTCAAAACCCATGTTGGCCTCCACACTGGGCTCCACACTGGGTGTGGAGCCTACATTAAAAAAACAAAAATCTGGAACTAGGTAGTGGGGATGGTTATGCAACTCCCATGAATATGCACAAAGAACTCCCGAATTGTACACTCTGGAAGTGTAAATTTTATAGTACATGAATTACAGCTTAAAAAAAACAATTTCCACCCAAGAAATTGGGTCAAAAATAATAAAGGTAATCCAGGTACAAGCGAACCCCAAGAAAACGGCAAGGCTGAAACCTCTGCTTTTCCTACAAGCTCATTTTCTGCCACATGACAAGTAAAAAGATCTGATACGAAGTGAGCAAAAAATAATTGAAATTCCCAAGAAAATTGAGTTATCAACACATTAGCATCGAACTTCAAGCAAAACATAGATGGTACCTCAGATATTACTGATATGTTTAAAATCATGTGACCCTCAATCTAGCATTCTACAAAATATCACCAAATTTAATGATAAATGTTTAGCAGACTATTTTGCAATTGCTTGTTTAATACAAAGTACACAAAGAATCAGCCCTGGAAAAACACTTTTTTTTTCCTACCACAGTGAAAGTCCTTAAAATAACAAACAAGAAACAATTTGGTCAACACATTGAAATGAATTCTTTCCTTAGAAAATCAGTTAGAAGCCTAGAGATGAAAATGCTCTGGAGATAAGCAGAAACAAATATTGCAACAAATTACCCCATTTTGGGAGTTTTGCCATATAGCTGGGGGAAAGCACAAATGTTTCTAACATGCTTCAGCTTGTGGTATTTGCAAGATTCTGTTTGAATAATCACACTCATTAGGAGCTATTTTTTTTTTTTTTGTGAACCACTAAGAGATGCCTCACAAAAATCAGCCTGAATCACAGGTTACTTATTTGAAATAATATATTTAATGGAAATCTGGCTAATTGTATCCTTTGTGGGAGTGGCTGCTTTGATTCAAAATTTTAAAAGATTTCAGAGGAAAGGTAGCTAGATGGCACCACATGTGAAATCCACTTTCTGCATCACTATTTGAAAAGTTATTGCAGAAAAAGGAGAAATGCAGGTTTTAGAAAATACCATCAAGATGATTTTTTAAAATCTTTTTGTAAATGAATGGAAATGGAGGTCAAAACAGCCAAACATCAACAACTTCAAATGGTTTCATATAATGTACAGTTTATAAATGAATATATGGTAGACTAAGTATGCTTTTTTTTTAAGACTATTTATTCATGAGAGACACAGAGAGGCAGAGACACAGGCAGAGGGAGAAGCAGGCTCCCCATGGGGAACTCGATGCAGGACTCGATCCCAGGACCCCGGGATCACAACCTGAGCCAAAGGCAGATGCTCAACCACTGAGCCACCCAGGCGCCCCTAAGTTTGCTTTCTTGACAGAACTTGGGAGATTGGGTCAGACCTTTTTTTTTTTTTTCTCAGTAAAAGTGATTTATCAAGAAAAACTAAAAGCCAAATGAGAGATAACTGAAGCTTCACCTCAAGCAACACAGTGAGGATAAGACTCTCTAATATTTTTCTGTTAAAACCCAGCAAAATAGGCCATCTTTAATCTTTCCTGAAACAAACCCAGGTAGAATTGTTTTAAAAATCTGAAAAAAAAAATCTGAAAAAACATGAACTCCAATAAAAAAAAAATTAAAAAAAAGAAAAAGAAAAAAATCTGGAAAAATGTACTTTAAACAAGTAAAAGAAACAATGAAATTAACTGATAAAAAAAAATTTAAGAAAAAAATCAGAAAAGGGAAAAAAAAGACCAAGAAAAGAAAAAAACCAATCCGATTAAAAAAAGAGCAGAGGATCTGAATGGACGTTTTTCCAAGGAAGATAGACAGATGGTCAGCAGGCACATGGAAAGATGCTCAATATCAGTTATCATCAGGGAAATGCAAATCAAACCCCAATGAGCTATCGCCGCACACTTGTCAGAATGGCTGATATCAAGAAGACAAGAAAGAGGGGCACCTGGGTGGCACAGCGGTTTGGCGCCGGCCTTTGACCCAGGGTGCAATCCTGGAGACCCGGGATCGAATCCCACCTCAGGCTCCCGGTGCATGGAGCCTGCTTCTCCCTCTGCCTGTGTCTCTGCCTGCCTCTCTCTCTCTCTCTCTCTCTCTCTCTCTCTCTGTGTGTGTGTGTGTGTGACTATCATAAATAAATAAAAATTAAAAAAAATTTTTTTAAAAAAGAAGACAAGAAAGAGGGGCACCTGGCTAGCTGAGACGGTAGAACATGAGACTTGATCTCGAGGTTGTAAGTCTGACTCTTGATTTAGGCTCAGGGTGTGATCTCAGGTTGTGAGATTGAACCTGGTGTTGGGCTCCACACAGGGAGTGGAGCCTGCCTAAGATTCTCTCTTCAGGGGCTCCTGGGTGGATCAGTTGGTTAAACGCCTGCCTTTGGCTCAGGTCATGATCCCGGGGTCCTGGGCTGGAGCCCTGTTGGGCTCCCTGCTCAGTGGGGAGTCTGCTTCTCGCTCCCCCTCTGTCCTTCCCCTTACCTTGTACTCTCTTTTTCTCTCTCTCAACTAAATCTTAAAAAAACAATTAAGATTCTCTCTCCCTCCCCCCACCCCTCCCCCACTTTTTAGCTCTCTCAAAAATAAAATCTTTTTAAAAAAGACAAGAAATAACAAGTGTGTGCAGGGGGGCATGGAGAAAAAGGAACCCTTGTGCACTGTTGGTGGGAATGTAAATTGGTGCAGCCACTGTGGAAAACAGTATGGAGGATCCTCCAAAAATTGCGAACAGAATTACCATATGATCCAGTAATTCCATAAGTTGGCATTTACCCAGAGAGAGTAAAACCACGAATTTGAAAAGATATATGCATCTCTATGTTTATTGCAGCATCATTTACAACAGTCAAGATAGGAAAGCAATACAAGTGTCCATGGATAGATAAATGAATAAAGACACACACAAAAAATGAGATCTTGTCATTAACATAGATGGGCCTCGAGGGTATTATGTTAAGTGAAATAAGTCAGAGAAAGACAAATACCATATGATCTCACTCATATGTGGAATCTCAAAAATGAAACAAATGAACAAACCAAACAGGTTCTTAAATACAGAGAATAAATTGGTGGTTTCCAGATGGGAGGCAGATGGGGGATGGGTGAGCTAGATAAAGGGGATTAAGAGGTACAGATTTCCAGTTATGAAAGAAAGAAGAAAAGAGAAAAAACAAATAGTAATGTTTTTTGTTTTTTTAAAGATTTTATTTATTTATTCATAGAGACAGAGAGAGAGAGGCAGAGACACAGGTAGAGGGAGAAGCAGGCATCATACAGAGAGCCTGATGTGGGACTCGATCCAAGGTCTCCGGAGGATCACGCCCTGGGCTGCAGGCGGCGCTAAACCGCTGCGCCACCGGGACTGCCCCAAATAGTAATTTGAAAGGGGTAGAGCAATCTAAAATAATTGACATTAGGTACCTCTGCACAGAGAAAAGGGAAAACAGGAGAGGATGACTTTTACTTTGCAAATGTATACTTTTCTATATTGTTTGGATTGTTAATATATTTGCACATATTACTCCAATTTTTTAATATGAATGGACTCTTCGGACATCGAGATTATAATCCCTTTTGTTTTATACTTTTTTTATTCTTAAAAACAATTTATTTTGATTATTTATTTGAAAGAGTGAGCCATTGAGAAAGAGTGCAAGTGGGGACAAGAGCAGAAGGAGAAGCAGGCTCCCCACTGAGCAGGGAGCCTGATGCCAGGTTCGATCCCAGGACCCCCAAATCATGACCTGAGCCGAAGGCACTTAACCAACTGAGCCACTCAGGTTCCCCCTTAAAAACAATATCATTTGAAGAGCGAAATATGAAAACATCCTGACAAACTGAAAAACCTTAAAGCAGGCACTAAATAAATCTAAGCTTGTCTTAAACATGGGATGCCTGCCTGGCTCATTCAGTAGAGCACATGTAACTCTTGATCTCAGGGTAGTGAGTTTGAGCCCCACATTGGGTGTAGAGATTACTTTTTTAAAAAATTAAGATTTTATTTATTTGAGACAGAGAAAAAGAAAGCGTGAGAGAGCATGAGCAGTGGGGAGAGGCAGAGGGAGAGAAAGAAGCAGATTCTCCACTGAGCAAGGACCCCAATGTTGGGGCTCAATCCTAGGACCCCGAGACCATAACCCAAGCTGAAGGCAGATGCTTAACCAACTAAGCCACCCAGCCGCCCCCAAAAGTAAAATCAAATAAATAAATAAATAAATAAATTTTAAAAATTGTCTTAAAAAAGGTGATTATCAAACATTTTGCTTTTCAAAATATTTATTTCAAGTATAAACTTATATAATGTACTATAGAGAAGAAGACAATCACATGTAAGATAGTTAAGTAATAAACTTGTGGAACACAATCATTTGATCATCAAAATATAAAAAAAAGTGAAAATAATTTTATATTAGATCATTTGATTAAAAACAGTGTTATTTTATTCAAGTAATAAGCCCAACCCAGTCCCCAACTAAGAGTTAAAGCTCTTTTCTATCTTCCTACATCCAGTCCTTAGACGAAAATCATAAACTTTTAACCAGAATTGTGCCCTAAAACTTCATTATTTAAAGTTTCTGTTACTCATGGGAATTATTCTATTTTGTTTATTCTTCATAAGTATTTTCAAAATGCCACTAAACAAACACATCATTTGTGTTGGTACAATGATGTAAAAAAAATGATGTAAATCATTTTTTACAAAAATAGAAATACCTAAATAATGAGTCTGAGGGTAAGTGAGAGGCAGGGGTGGGTTATTTAATTCACATTGGAATAATCTGTCATGTAATGGCAGAGCCACCATAGTGAACGTGCTCTGAAAGTTGGTCCCGTCGGGTAACAACCCATGTCAACACAAACCTCCTGGTCCTAGAATCCCTCCTCGATGGTATGCATGAGCGCCCTGAAGAGAATCACCAGGAGAAGCAAGCTTAACAAGCGAAGTTCTTGCTGCGAGTGCAGTGCTGGCCAGAGACCCCTGTACAGGAGGGGAGTGCAAGGTGTCTTGGCTGAGCTGTCCCCAAGGGTGGATGTGAGCCAAGTCTGGTGTCGGAGAGACACCCCATTTATTTGAGCAAAGAATGCTCAGTGCCCCCCCAGAGAGTCACCATAAGGGAGTGGACCCTTAACCATCGAGGCCACTGCGTCCTTCAGATCTCCAGCCCGGGTTTGTCAGATGGCCTCTGCCCTTCCCTCCTGGGCCATTCTCCACCCGACCTTCTGCCTCCTGGCACTGAAGTTTCAAAGACTGGGTCTCTTCCTCTTGTTCTTCGTCATCTGGATCCGATTCATCGTTGTAGAAGTGAATTGTGGCTTGCACTGGGAAACTGGCCAGCACTTTTTCCCCAGAACTCTGCAGATATTCTTGGCGCTTTGAAATGGGTAAATAAAGTCTAATATTTAAGAAACAAATACACCATTAATCACCATGAAACGAGCTAAATTCCACCTAGCGGGTCCTTTTCCCCAGAAGCAGCTAGCTCCCAATCTCCCTCCCTGATCTTGCCTTTGCTGCACACACTGTTTTCTAAATCATCAGAACCCAAAACCATGGGCAGGTGGAGAGACCTGGCAAGGAATCCTATACCAGTTTGGAAATGAGCTCTCATCTGAGTGAGCAAATCAATCCAGACCAACACGGGGGAAAGGGTGTGCTTTCAAGAAGGGAAAAGGAAATTAAAACAGTGAGTTTCAAAATGAAGAGTCTTATTTTGATCAAATGGAGAACTTGGCGTATCCTGGAGAATACAGGTCCTACGTAGGTTAGGCCCTCACTCCCTCCAACACCCCTAAGCATGAGGAATGTTGTGACACTTTGGGCTCAGGAAGAAATTTGACTCTGAAACCCCAGTCTAGAAAAGCAGCTAATTTTTCTGTATGTTGCTATGGAGAAGCTATAGGGGTGTGTTCCTGGCTTTGCCAAAACAGCAAACAGTAACCCTATGTGTCTAAAGAAAAGGAAGGAAGGAAGAAAGGACCGGCGGGAAGGGAGGGAAAGAACATAAATATATAAATTCAGAACTCTCAAGATCTTATTTATTTGTTCGTGACAGACACAGAAAGAGAGGCAGACACACAGGCAGAGAGAGAAGCAGGGTCCTTACAGGGAGCCTGATGTGGGACTCGATCCCAGGACCCTGAGATCACGATCTGAGCCACCCAGGCATCCCATAAATTTGGAACTCTAAATCCAGGTTTTGTAGAATTTAGGATTACAGTTACACATAGAAAGTACTTGAACTATCCCTCAGTCTCTCCATAACTCCTTATTCTCGTACCTTTCACTCACTAATTTATTTGCATTTTTCCCCTGAGGTCTTCTGAGTAACTGAGAGGGATTATCATTTGATCACTATTTACTTGCAAAGCTGATTTCTTTTTCATTTTTTAATTTTTAAGTAATCTTGATGCCCAGTGTAGGGCTTGAAACTACAACCCCAAGATTAAGAGTCAGACACTTTATCAACTAAGCCAGCCATGTATCCTTAAAAAAGCTGATTTCCTTGTTTCTTTCTTTTTCTTTTTTTTTTTTTTTAAGATTTTATTTATTTGACAGAGAGAGAGCACAAGCAGGGGGAGTGGCAGGCAGAGGGAGAGGGAGAAGCAGGCACCCTGCAGAGCAGGGAGCTCAGTGTAGGACTGATCCCAGGACCCTAGGATCATGACCTGAGCCGAAGGCAGATGCCTAACCAACTGAGCCATCCAGGCGCCCTGCAAAGCTGATTCCAATTTTCCTCTTTTTGGATAGAGAAGCAAAGAAAGACAGAAAATACCCTGCTATAAATAACACACAACAATTTTGAACTGCCAAAGATTTTTGAACCTCAAGGGCACATTGGCAACATCTGGAGACATTTTTGGTTGCCACAACTGAGAAGCTACTAGCATGTAGAGGGCAGAGGCCAGAGATGCTGGCCTAAAATGGATGAAATGTGAGAGGGATACAGAGTAAGGCCCTGACCACCACCGAGACCACGGGAGAACCAACCACCCAATCCCTCATTCGATCACACATATATTTTGAAGGTTTACTTTGCTCTAGACAATATACTAACTGATATCCTGGGAGAGAAATGGAAATGCCCTTAAATATTTAAGAAGCAGATACACATGTATAATTCATATTGAATTAAAATTAACACAAGACATAATATGTAATAAAAGGTGCAAACAGAAGACATCAAGGAAAGAGGTCAATCCAATTTGCAACTGGAATGCTGAATGAATGAATGAATGAATGAATGAATGAATGGATTTCAGAAATCCAACAAAACAGCCTTGAAGTTCCTTGGGATAATAACTAAATATTAGAGAATATACTGAATTATTTCCCACTTTGTTGAGAACGTATACAGTTGAAGACACTCAAGTGTCTTTATGCTTCTATCAAAAGGAAATCACTGATTTCCTACTGGGAAGTCACATTACCTTACAGGATGCTGAAACCCAAAGGCCCCCTTCGATCCAGGACTTTCTCGGTCACCTCCAGGGTCGAGCTGTAAAGACAGACACATAGGAACACAGAGTCAAGCACCTCTGAGATAGCATATTGAAATTCTAAAAAAATAAAACCTAAGTAGTCTGCATTTCTTAGTATCAATACCAGTTTTATTTTATTTTTTTAAATATTTATTTATTTATTCATGAGAGACAGAGAAAGAGAGGCAGAGACACAGGCAGAGGGAGAAGCAGGCTCCATGTAGGGAGCCCGATGTGGGACTCGATCCTAGGACCCCGGGATCTCACCCTGAGCCGAAGGCAGATGCTCGACCACTGAGTCACCCAGGTGTCCCTCAATACCAGTTTTAGAAACAGTTTAAACACCTTCACAGGATTTGATAAGCCCCTCTCTCTTCCTGTTGTCAGTGATGTCCTGGCCACTGGGATTCAAAGACAGAAAAATGAATCCTTCAGTTGAGGCTTTTAAAATCTAATGGGATGGGGCACCTGGGTGGCTCATTCGCTGAAGCATCTGCCTTTGGCTCAGGTCACAATCCTGGGGTCCTGGAATCGAGTCTCTATTGGGCTCCTTGCTCGGCAAAGAGCCTGCTTCTCCTTCTCCCTCTGCCTGCTGCTTCCCCACTTGTGCTCTCTCTCTCTCTGTCAAATGAATAAATAGGATCTTTTAAAAAAATACATCTAATAAGAAAAGACACACACGTAGACACATGACTACACGACAAAGCCTTGTAGGCAAATGACTACACTACAAAGCCTCGTATAGCAAGATGCCAAGAAAAGGTTCATGGAGAGGCCTGGCAGAGATGTCATCAGCATTTGGGTGTGCAAATTGGAGACCATTCCAGAGGGGAGCCTCAAATCCTGAGGGGCTAGACAACAGAGAGCAGAGGTAGGGACGGCTGAGGGGCCCAGCATGGCATGAACAAGAAGCTGTGTTATTTAATGGGCTGCAACAGGAAGCTGGCTCTTGACTACAGGATATTTTTTTTAAGATTTTTATTTATTTACTCATGACAGACGAGAGAGAGAAAGAGAGAGAGAGAGAGAGAGAGAGAGACAGAGACAGAGACACAGGCAGAGGGGGAAGCAGGCTCCTTGCATGGATTGAGACGTGGGACTCATCCCAGGATCACACCCCAGGCCAAAGGTGGCGCCAAACCGCTGGGCCACCGGGGCTGCCCTGATTACAGGATATTTTGAACACCTACTTTGGAGTCTAGGTTTCACTCTGGAGACAGTACTAGAGACCGTTGCTGATTTTTTAAGGACTTTATTTATTTATTTATGAGAGATACAGAGAGAGGCAGAGACATAGGCAGAGGGAGAAGCAGGCTCCCTGTGGGGAGCCCGATGCAGGACTCCATCCCAGGACCCCGGGATCATGACCTGAGCCAAAGGCAAGACGTTCAACCACTGAGCCACCTAGGGGCCCCCTTTGCTGCTCTTTGAGCCTGGAGTTCAACAATCAGATCTGTATTTTAAGGAGAATGGTGGCCCGTGGGAGCAGTGCACAGCCTAGATTGGAGAGATAAGGGCTCCGGGGCACCCAGCAAGAAGGGACAGACATTTGACCAGTGGCAGGAAAGGAAAGGAAAGATGAATGCCAAGGGCACTTCAGTAGTATTAAAAAAAAAAAAAAAAACCACTTAGCCATTTTACATCAAGAGTGGAGGAAAGGGAAGCCAGTCTGAGCAACTAAGGGCAACACTGATGGAGAAAAGACACAAACAAGGGAGAGAGCGAGCCAGGTTGTGCATGCTGTGACCAGCATAGGCCTCGGGGAGGTGAGGGGACAGTCACACTACCTGTCCCGGGCTGAGCCCCCTTCTGCCCAAATTCGTGAGGCCCTGAATCTCAATGAACTTGGCCTGAACTGTAGCCAGAGTATCTGAGCGGCTGAGAAGCTGGAAATTGCCCTTTGATCTCAGAGCTCTCTGAAAGTTTTAGTGACTATAGAAAGCGCCGAGTGGGGCATCTCGGGACAGTGCATCCGGGGACAGCTTGAAAATGAGCTGAAACGGGCTGGGGCAACGGATCAGAATCCCCAGCCCTTGGGTTGCATGGAGTTTAGCGTGAACCAGACAAGGAGTGAGACAAAAGCTGTAGAGTACGACAAGGAAGGACCCTGAGGCTTCTCTGCCACCAACGATCATCGCATCCATTCCACCCCGCAATGATAGGTGCGTGGCCTTTGTGAACAAATGTCATTATATTTTATCAACCATAGTTTTTACAATATGCTGTGGCAAGAGAAGTTAGGGAAAGAAAATGAGGTTCTTTGAATAGTATTGTCTCCAAAATGAAGTTCACTTTTTATTTTTTTATTTTTAAAAGATTTTATTTATTTATTCATGAGATATACAGAGAGAGAGAGGCAGAGACACAGGCAGAGGGAGAAGCTGTATGGAGCCTGACATGGGACTCGATCCCGGGTCACCAGGATCAGGCCCTAGGCTGAAGGCGGCGCTAAACCACTGAGCCACCTGGGCTGCCCTGAAGTTCACTTTTTAAAAAAAATATTTACTTATTTATTTGAGAGAGAGAGAACAAACAGAGAGGAAGAGAGAGACGGAGAAGCAGACTCCTGGTGGAGCAGTTTGCCCAATGGGTCCTCGATCCCAGGACTCTGGGACAACGACCTGAGCCAAAGGTAGATGCTCAACCACTGAACCACCCAGGTGCCCCGAAGTTCGCTTTTTGAGGACTCCAGAGAATGTGTTAGGCTCTGTAATTATAAAATACCTCTAAAGCTCATTACCACAGTAAGCAATCCTGGGCTGTCAGAGGCCATTTTACACCCTGTGATGGGAGAGCATCTAACGCAACGATGCAGTCTTTGGTGGAGGCCAAAAGGTAGTATTAGTAGAGAGGAACAGCTTCCTTTAAGTGAGTAATTCTGTGAAATACAACAGACCAGTAAAAACTGTAAAACTTGATTCCCCAACACACACAGCCTTAAAAACTTTATGCCACAAATATCTTCTAATTAAAGATCACTTTCTGATGACAGAAACGTCTAAACATTCACACTTCGATAATTCAAGGGGATCAGAAATGTATATAAGGAAAGGGGTGTGTGTGTGTGTGTGTGTGTGTGTGTGTGTCCTTATGAGTTAAGAGAAGAGATACAAGGGCAACCCGGGTAGCTCAGCGATTTGGCGCCGCCTGTGGCCCAGGGCATGGTCCTGGAGACCCAGGATCGAGTCCCACGTTGGGCTCCCTGCATGGGGCCTGCTTTTCCCTCTGCCTGTGTCTCTGCCTCACTCTCTCTCTCTCAAGAGTAAATAAATAAAATCTTAAAAAAAAAGAGAGAGAGAGAGAGAGAGAGAAGAGATAGAAGCCGACTTTCATTAGTCTCGGGTTCTCCTCCCCACGCAGCCTGACTCCCATACAGCGATGGCGGGGGAGGCCTGTACAATGGGAGGCTGAACCCATCAGAACAGTCCCTGACCTCTCCTTCCAGGAAATCACCTCCCTTGCAAGGTGGCCAAGTGGCCAGGGAGGAAATGTCACAGAGGTCACCGAAGTCTTAGGCTACCGCTCGTTTTCTCCAGGCAGGAGAGGGAGACTGCTCCCCAAGGGGGGGTAGGAGCTACCGAACGGGTGAGGGTGACTCCGGGGATCAGGGCACAGGGTCTTGAACCCCACACTCAAAATTTCTCAATTTCTCCAGAAATACACAAGAGGGCTCTGCAACCAAGGGCTTCTCCCGCGTTGTCGGGAGAGGGCGCTGCGGAGCAAGAAGCGCGCCCGTCGGTGCCAGGCTGCGCTCCCCGCGCCCGGGGCCGGGAACCGTGTGCGGTACGTGGAACCTGCGGCCGCCGCGGCTGTCCTCTCCGCCTGGCCCGCGGGGCTCTGCAAACAGCTGGCCAGGCAAGTCCCCTCAGCGCACCCCCCAATCCACGGACACAACGGCTTCATCCAGTGTGCCATACGGACCTCCAACTAGCAACTTCCTACAGCTTGACACTTTTCTCCAAGTATCCATTTTTCTCACAAATAGCCTTTTTTTTTTTTTTAAACAAATAGCCTTCTCATCATAATCGGAAAAAAACCCCACCTGCATTACAGGCTCTACTATAGTATTTTTATTCTTGCAACAACTGATAGGCTCCATGTACATTTCACTTAACAAAAAATTGGATACTTGTAAACTTCTATAATTTCTCCCTCTCCCAAGAACCTTTTAAATCTTATGTTTAGGGATCCCTGGGTGGCGCAGCGGTTTAGTGCCTGCCTTTGGCCCAGGGCGCGATCCTGGAGACCCGGGATCGAGTCCCACGTTGGGCTCCCGGTGCATGGAGCCTGCTTCTCCCTCTGCCTGTGTCTCTGCCTCTCTCTCTCTCTCTCTCTCTCTCTGTGACTATTATAAATAAATAAATTTTAAAAAATAAATAAATAAATCTTATGTTTAAAGGGGCGACCGGGTGGCTCAGTGGTTAAGCGTCTGCCTTGGGTTCAGGGCATGATCCCGGGGTCCTGGGATAGAGTCCTGCATCGGGCTCCCTGCAGGAAGCCTGTTTCTCCCTCTGCCTATGTCTCTGCCTCTTTGTGTCTCTCATGAATAAATTTTTTAATAAATTTATTTTTTTATTGGTGTTCAATTTAAAAAATAAATCTTATGTTAAGAACTTCAGGTTGAATGCAAAAGATGTCGTAACTATTTCCCATTATTTAGATATTGTCTGTAGTTGATAATCTGGGCTACAGAATCATACCCCTCAATTTGATACAGATTGTATTTGTTTCATTTTTTAAATCACAGTAACAGTTAAAATTTCCATTATCCAGGCTAATTGAACAAAGTATCAAAATATCAAAATACAGTCAAAGGTCAGCTTTCGCACACCTGAGTTTCTTATCATATTACAAATAACTGCACACATAACACGTACCACATGTTAGGGAAACGAAACGCATGGTCCTTCCCAGCCTGATTAGCTCTTCGGCATTATGAAAGCCATCCACTTACATTTTAAGATTTTTTAAAAGGAAGGTAAAGTCTCTGAAAGCAAGCCATTCCTTCAATAAGTATAAAGCAACTCAATTACCAATGGAGGAAACAAAAGAAGAGTGGTGGAGACTAGTCTTTAGGCACAAAGCCCTCAGCTGGAGTGTATTTGCTCAGACAACATGAATTACCCCAGGAGTGCTTGCAGACTGGGCAAAAGTACTTCACAAAGGGCCAGCTGGTGGGGGCATTTAACCGTACCTTCTGGGTACCCCACACTGGTCTCTGACCCTATTTACCCTGTGGTACCAGCCACCAGTAATGCCACGCTCAGAGAGGGGACCAGGGCAGCCTTCTCCCCTCCTCTCTCTACCTGCTGGTTTGCAGAGGGGAAAACTCAACATAAAAGAAATCTCTCAAAAAGAGAAAGAAAAGAAAAGAAGAAAAGAAAAGAAAAGAGAAAAAAAGAAAAAGAAATCTCTCTTACTCTTTTCTAGAACTCTCTTACAATGCCCTTGAAAGAGCTATGCCATAGTGGCTCTGCTTTTCAAGAAAGCAGCAAGCAGGAGCCCAGTCTATACATGTGACTCAGGTGGGAGCCACAGCCGGCTCCCCCAGGCTCCCTCTCCCCTCTCCCCTGCAGTAGGGGACCTTCCATGGTCATTTTTGAGTTGTGCCACTTTCGGGCTTAATCGTTTGATACGACAATGCCCACCTTTACCTTACCGGGCTTCCAGATCTGGTCAGCTCAGCTTCTTGGGGTGTCAGGATCCAAGGTCTCCACGGTGTGGGGCTGGAAAGGCAGGGACCAGAGGTGAACCCCAGCATTTTCTGGTGTCTTTTAGAATCATATCATGAGAGTTAATATTCTTATCAATTCCAATGTTTGCCTGAGAAGGAGTCACTGGAGACCTCAGGAAGTTCTATCTGTGGATAAGCTGGTGCCACTTGTGTTTTTTTTTCCTCCTGCCACATTCTCAGTCTTCCGCCTTCCCTGGGCTTTGAGAAGTCCCAAATCTGATGCAATGATCAGGGGACGCAGTAGTTGCGGGGTTTCTCTCCCAGCCTGCCTAGATTCTCCGACCGATTCCCCCGCTGCAGCTGGCTACTTTGTTGCTCGCGAATTTCAAGTGCACCCCCCCTGGGGCTGAGGGATCCGCACCCTGCGGAGAGGACTCCACGGGGTTCTACGATGCAAAAGAGGGGGAATGGGTTTCTGCTCTCGGGCTGCCTACCCACCCGGCCCCTTCCACGCTTCCCCCGGTGAATCTGATTTTAACTGCACTGTCTTGAAAGGGCTGAGCCCCAAGCGCAGGACAAACAAAAACCGCGCTCGAGTGTGACAGTCAACGTGAGGGGGTCCCCAGCACGCTAGCTGGGAGGGCCCGAGGCTTCGGCGTGCCCAGCCCAGGGCGTTTCGGGGCTGTGAATGGGAGCTTGGGTCGGTTTGCTCGCGGGGCGCCTCCCCGGGCTGCGCACGTCGGCCCCGAGCGCCGACACCGGGAGGACCAGGGCGCTCCGGGGCCCGCCCGGGTTCTGGGGGCTCAGGGCGCTGCAGCGTCCGCTCTGCGCCCCCCGCGCCTCCGTGCGTCCCGGGGCCGCGGGGACACCCTCACCTCTCGGGGCTCCGGGGACCGTCCGCGGGGCAGTGACAGGCGCGCCCCCGCGCCTCCCGGGCTCCGGCCGCCGCCTCGGGTCTCATGGTGCCCGCGCAGCCCGCGCCTCTCCAGCGGCGCCGGGGCCACGGCCGCGCCTCCAACCGCTCGGGCGAGGGCGCTCACCTACCAGGGCGCGCGGCGCCAGGTTTAAAAACGGGGGCGGGGCGGGAGGGGCCGAGGGACGCCGGGGAGGGGCGGGGCGGGGAGGGCGCAGGGGAGGCCCCGGGAGGGGACGGGGAAGCCGGAGAGGGGGCGGGGACGACACAGGCTCCCGACCGGGGGGTGGGGAAGGGAGGGCGGAGGGGGAGACTGGGGGGGAAGGGAGGGGGGTGGGGGGGAAGGGACGTGGGAAGGGAGGGGTTGGGGGAGACGGGAGGTGGGAAGGGACGGGGTGGGGGGGAAGGGAGGTGGGAAGGGAGGGGGAAGGGAGGGGGAAAGGAGGGGGTGGGGAGAAGGGAGGGGGTGGGGGGAGAAGGGACGTGGGAAGGGAAGGGGGTGGGGGGAGAAGGGGGTGTGGGAGGGAGGGGAAGGGAGGGGGTTAGGGGAGAAGAGAGGTGGGAAGAGTGGGGGGAGAAGGGAGGGGGGAAGGGAAGGGGAGAACGGGGAGGGTAGGGGGAGGACAGGGGAGGGAGGGGGTGAGGGGAGAAGGGACATGGGAAGAGAGGTGGGGGGAAGAAGAGAGGTGGGGGGAAGGGGTGGGCGTGGGGGGAGGACGGATCTCCGTGGAGAGGACTCAGGAAGCTCGGGGCGAGGGTGAGGAGGGACAAAGGAAACCGAGGATGGGTCGCCAGGGCCGACGGCAGTGACTCGGTTCGCGCGGGGAGGAACTTGCGGGGGGTGGTGTCTGTAGGGCCCTCCCCCCCCGGGGTCACCTCTGGGGTCGGGCTGGCGGGGCGCTCGCCCAGCCCCCCCCCCCCCGCCGGCTGCGGCAGCGACGGGGTCCCCGGCTTCTCCCCGCCGGTCCGGGGCTCCCCGTGGCCCCAGGGAGCGTCCAGGTGCCCACATTTCCGGAGGAGCTCACGTCCACCCCTCTGAAGCGGGCCGCGATTTGGGGGCGCGGCTTCCGACGCCTCGAGACCCGGACCCTCGCGGAGCTGCGGGGCCCGCGGAGCTGGAGGTCGGGCGCCCCGACGGCGCTGCGCGAACCGGGAGGGCGGAGCCGCGGCTGCGCTTCCAGGCGGTGGAAGGGCGCGGGGAGGGGAGCGAGCGCAGAGCGCAATCCCACGGCCGCGGGTGTGCCGGAGAGCTCGGGGCTCCCGGGGGGGGGGCTTCCCCCAGGAGAGCGCCTGGCTGAGCCTGCAGCCGCGGGTGCGGGGCCCTGAGCGCACTGCCCCAGGCCGCGGGGCTCATGGGGGCGCCCCCACCCCGGGCCCCCCGCAGGGCCAGGTGGCAGGAATGCTGGTTTACCAGTTGCCCCGGCGACTTCCGGGGGGGGCCCCTTGGTTAAACAGCATCTGCGTCCTCCGCGCCCCCCTGACCCTGGGTTTGAGAACTGGAGCTTGCTGTATGGGATTTAAATTAAAAGGAAGATAAATCCAGGAACTTCAGTAACAAAAGTATCTCCCCGTGTTCTTTTCTTAAAAGCAACAGGTTTCTGACCATGATTAAACCTAATTAGAGGCAGAGAGGGAAAAGTAACAACCTTATTATATACAAGTTCATACACATGATGAAAGAAGACACTGATTGTAACAGCGGTCGGGAAAGCCACAGAGTAACATCAGCGGACGTTACACCCGTAAAATACTATATTGAACGTTGGCAGCCCTTGTGGGTGCCTTAAAATGAATGTCTTTCAGGGAACCTGTGGCAATATGGTCAGGTCACCTTTCTAAGGAAGTATGACAACATTTATCACACGCCTTAAAAACGATCACTAGGGACGCCTGGGTGATTCAGCAGTTGAGCATCTGCCTTCAGTTCAGGGCGTGACCCTGGGGTCCTGGGATCGAGTCCTGAACCGGGTTCCATTCAGGAAGTCTGCTTCTCCCTCTGCCTGTGTCTCTGCCTGTGTGTGTGTGTGTGTGTGTGTGTGTGTGTGTGTCATGAATAAATAAATACAAACTTTAAAAAAATTTATCAATCAATCAATCGGTCACCTCTTGGGGCACCCGAGTGGTTCAGTTGGGTAAGTGGCTGACTTTGGCCCAGGTCATGAACCCAGGGTCCTGGGATGTAGAATTGCATGGGGGTCCCTGCTCAAGGGGGAGTCTGCTTCTCCCTCCCCTCTACTCCTCCCCCCACCATGCTGTGTCTCTCTCAAATAAATAAATAAAATATTTAAAAAAAAAGGTCACCTCTTGGCTCAGTGATTCTTCTTTAAGGTCTATATTAAAGATGTATTAATTTATAGGGTGAGGTTCATCATAGTGTTATTTACAATGTTGAAAAATATGCCTGAACCTATGACAATGACGAAGCAGTGATGAAATATCACGCAGCTTAATAAAAATGCTTATTGAGTTTTTTTTTTAATTATTTATGATAGTCACAGAGAGAGAGAGAGAGAGAGAGAGAGAGGCAGAGACACAGGCAGAGGGAGAAGCAGGCTCCATGAACCGGGAGCCCTACGTGGGATTAGATCCCGGGTCTCCAGGATCGTGCCCTAGGCCAAAGGCAGGCGCTAAACCACTGCGCCACCCAGGAATCCCTGTTTATTGAGTTTTGAACAGCACAGTTATACATATAATGTCAAAAGAACAAAATTGGATGAGTGGGATCCAAACCACACAGAACCTATAAATGACAAAACAGAAGTGGCTACTGAGTACTGTGACAACTAAGGAATTTATTTATTTGTTTGTTTATTTATTTTACTGTTAACCCCAGGTCAAGAGTCCCACACTCTACTGACTGAGCCAGCGAGGCACCCCACTAAGGATTTTAAAACACTTTAAAAATATTTTCTAAATTTTCAACAATGAGCATATATTTTTGTGTGGTAAAATATACATGACAACATTTACCATTTTAACCATTTTCAAATACAACTCAGCAACATTAACTACATTCACATTGTTGTGCATGCATCCCCATTATCCATCCTCAGAATGTTTTCATCATCCCAAAGTGAAACTCTGTCCCATTAAACACACAGCCCCCCTTTCCCTCTCCTCCAGCTCCCAGTACCACCATTCTACTTTTTTGGCTGCGGCTCTGACTATTCCAGGCACCTCATATAATTGGAATCTTTTGCTCCTTTTTTGGAGTACATAATTAATTTTATAAACTATTGATTTAATCCTCATCCCAACTCCACAAATAGGCATTATCCTTTTCTTTTTCTTTTTTTTTTAATAAATGTTTTAATTTATTTATGATAGTCACACAGAGAGAGAGAGGGGCAGAGACACAGGCAGAGGGAGAAGCAGGCTCCATGCACCGGTAACCCGACGTGGGACTCAATCCCGGGTCTCCAGGATCGCGCCCTGGGCCAAAGGCAGGCGCTAAACCACTGCGCCACCCAGGGATCCCCGCATTATCTTTTTCTTGCAGATTTAGAAACTGGGGTTCAGAGAGGCTAGGTAACTGGGGTAAAGTCACCATCTGGTTAGAAAACCAAAGCTTGAGCACTGGGTATTATTCTGTAAGTTGGCAAATTGAACACCAATAAAAAATAAATTTATTATAAAAAAAAAAAAAGAAAACCAAAGCTTGTACTCCTACGGGTACATGGACTTCAGAAACTGAATGCTGCTGAATAAGTTTAAAAGACAAGAAGGACCCCAAGACAGCGCCTGCACACAGTAAACAGTTTTGTCTTTTTGTTTTGTTTTGTTCTTCCTTCTGCCAAGCATAGGTAAGGCCCAGGGGCACCTGGGTGCCTCAGTAGTTGAGCATCTGCCTTTGACTCAGGGCATGATCCTGGGGTCCTGGGATCGAGTCCCACGTCCGGCTCCCTGCATGGAGCCTGCTTCTCCCTCTGCCTGTGTCTCTGCCTCTCTCTCTCTCTCTCTCTCTCTCTCTCTCTGTGTCTTTCATGAATAAATAAATAAAATCTTAAAAAAAAAAAAAAAGGAACACATGGCCTGGCAAAAAGGGGGGCAATTTGAGCAACAATATAAAGTAGTACTGGGTTATAACCCAAAGTATATAATAAATATCAATGAGTTCATACTGATATCCATAAATATTGAGTGAGGAGAATAAGCAGGTCTCCTTAACAGAAGAGTTCCAAATGTTTTATGTAAATATCCTACCCTCAAGGAGGTGGAGTGTTATAACTCCACAAACTGTAATGAAACTTAATTAGCTGTGCACGTTTTTGCTGAAAATGTATGTAATGAAAAATAAATTCATTGGTAATACAGAATAAAGATTGTTGGTTTTTTTTTAAAGATTTATTTATTTATTTATGAGAGACCCAGAGAGAGAGAGAGAGAGAGGCAGAGACACAGGAGGAGGGAGAAGCAGGCTCCATGCAGGGAGCCTGATGTGGGCCTCGATACCAGGACTCCAGGATCACGCCCTGGGCCGAAGGCAGGCACTAAACCACTGAGCCACCCAAGGATCAACAGGTTTTTTTTGTTGTTGTTGTTGTTTTTTTATTTAAGTTCTTTCTGCAGGTAGAAGAATAAAATACAGTTACAAAAATAAACTGCTGTTGAGGTAGTCAGGAATTCAAAAGATTTTTGTGTTACCAAGTATAATTATTTCTTAAACTTTTTTGGGGGGGTCCGAGGAAGGTATTTCTGATAGAGGAAATCATTTGCCAAAGGGTATAGAAGTCATTAAAAAAAAACTTAATTAAGGCTTTGGCTTATAAACTGGGAAAAATTGCATAGCTTCAACTGAAGTGCATGGATTCCTGCCTGGGAGGTGATGCGGGAAACAGATAAAATTGAGATTCTATTTCTTGCTCTGTTCTCTTTAATTAAAAATTCTTTTTCCTATGCTGACTTCCAGGCGTTGCTTGGAAACAAAGAGTAAAGATGTCAACCCTCAGGGTTTCCGGCTGGCCTAGGAGGAGGATACCAAAAGTCAAAACATCTCTGAGGGCAGAATATTTTTACATAAACAGTGCTGAGGACGGGCAGGGAAATGTTTCCTCTCCTTGTGTTTGGACAGACCTTGTTTCCTGTTCTCTGC